CATTCTGCCGCTCTCTGTCTCTTTATTGGTCTATTTAGTCCATTTACATTTAGTGTAATTACTGATAGGTATGCATTTAATGCTGTCATTTTGATGTCTTGTTTTTGTGTTGTCAGTTTCTCTGTTCCAAATTTTCTGTGCTGAGTCGTTTTCCTTTATGTATTTTCTTTTCATCTTTTTCATTGTTCTTGATTTTGTATTTGCTGAGTCTTTATGTTTTTCTTGTTTTTTATTTTGATATGTTGAATTGTAGTTTCCTTTGTGGTTACCCTAGTATTTACCCCTGTTTTTCTAAGTTTAAACCACTCTTTTATTTCTTTATATCACCTTGACTTCCTCTCCATATGAAAGATCTATGACCACATTTTTTAGTCCCTGTTTTTCATTTTAATGTTGTTGTCTTTTACATGTTGACATCTCTCTTTCCCTATTTTCAGTGTTTTAGCTTTGATTTATTTTGTGACTTTCCTGTCTGGGTTTATATCTGGCTGCTCTGTCCTGTGTTCTAGTCATAGGTGGTTTTCTGATGTCATTGATTTTCTAACCGGAGGACTCCCTTTAGTATTTCCTGTAATTTTAGTTTGGTTTTTACAAGTTCCCTAAACTTCTGTTTATCTGGAAATGCCGTCATTCCGCCATCATATTTGAGAGACAGTTTTGCTAATATATAATTCTTGGCTGGCAGTTTTTTTTCCTTCAAGTTTTTATGTATGTCATCCCCATTGCCTTCCTGCCTGTGTGGTTTCTGCTGAGTTTTCCGAGCTTAGTCTTATTGACTCTCGTTTGTAGGTGACTTTTTGTTTATCCCTAGGCACTCTTAAAATTCTCTCTTTATCTTTGGTTTTGGCAAGTTTGATTATAATATGTCTTGGTGACTTTCTTTTCGGATCTATCTTGTGTGGGGTTCGATGAGCTTCTTGGATTGATATCTTCTTATCTCTCACAATATCAGGGTAGTTCTTCCAGCAAGTCTTCAACAATTCTCTCTGTATTTTATGCTATCCACCACCACCCCCTTTTGTGGTACTCCGGTCACTTGTAGGTTGTTCCTCTTGATAAAGTCCCACATAATTCTTAGGATTTCTTAATTTTTTTTAAACTCTTTTATCTGATTTTTCCTCAAATAAGTTGGTGTCAAGTGCTTTATCTTCAGTCTCACTAATTCTGACTTGCATTGCCTCAGTTCTGCGCCTATGACTTTCTATTTAGCTGTCTAATTCTGAAATTTTATTGTTAATCTTCTGGATTTCTGTTTGGTGCTTCTCTATGGATTCTTGTAGCCTGTTAAATTTGTCATTGTAAGCTTTGTCTCTGTGTTCCCTTGGCTTGTTCTGCATTTTGTCTGATCTCCTTTTTGCTCTCTTGAAGAGTCTTGGATATTAATCTTTTGTATTCTGCTTCCGGTAATTCTGCGAAGTTCTTTTCCTCTGTAAGATTTCTTGATTCTTTGTTTTGGGAGCTTGCTGAAGCCATCATGGTCTGCCTCTTTATGTGGTTTGATACTGACTGTTGTCTCCGAGCCATCAATAAGTTATTATATTTATTTAGTTTATGTTTGCTTACAGTGTCCTAGCTTCTTGGTTTTGTTTTGTTTTGATATGCCCAAATAGGCTGCTTATGTGAGCTAATTTGATTATTGGGGCCTTTGAAGGTCTAATGCCCTGTCACCAGGTGGTTAGAGCTGTTACTAGGTATGTGAGCCCAGAAGTCTGTTTACTTTTTTTGTATGAATTCAGCTCAGGTGTTCAGGTAGTCGGTCACCAAGTGTGTGGTGCAGCCCTCACCTACAGTCCTAGATGGGCAGTGGTGATTGGAGTAGTCAGAGGTATCTGGCTGTAGTAGGGGGTCACACACTGAGCAAGGCAGGGGACTGACAGCTGCCCCTGAGTGTCTGGGAGGAACGCATGTCCCTGTTCCCTAGAGTGCATAGGTGGGTGTGTTTTGCAGCTGGACTATGGGCACCTGATGCTGTTGGCTGTAAGGAGTGGGAGACACCACTTATTCTTGGACCCATGTCGCTGGAGGCTAGGTGGTGTGGGTGGAGCCACCAGTCCTCAGGCCCCTCATGTGGGTAGGTGAGGACCCTGTTTAATGGGCAGAGCAGTGTCAGATGTCACAAACCTGCCAGTCCACCACATAACTCATACAGTTGAAGTTAGGCTTCAGGTGTATATATACCCTGTTGTACTCTGCTAATGAGGGCCTACGCTGTTGAAGTGGGCCCACAAAGGTCTATGCTGGGGTGAAAGGCATTCAAAGTCCATGGACCCCTTATGCCTGTGCCTAGGCAAAGGAGCTGTGCCTGCCCTGCCTTCCTGGCTTAGGGGAGCTGGCAGATTTTTTTATTTTTATCGTACTTCAGGTGAAGGCTTACAGAACAAATAATTTCTCATGGAACAGTAGTACACATATTGTTTTATGACATTGGTTAACAACCCCACAACATGTCAACCCTCTAACGTCTCAACCCTTTTATTTTTTTTTGGTGAAAATACACATAGCCAAAGATAGACCATTTCAAAAATTTCTACATGCACAGTTCAGTGACATTGACTACGCTTTTCCAATTGTGCTGCTATTCTCACTTAAGATGAAGGCTTACAGGACAAAATAGTTTCTCATTTAACAGTTACTACACATGTTGCCCTATGACAATGGTTAACAATCTCACAACACGTCAACAATATCCTTACTCAACCTTGGGTTCCCTATCACCAGCTTCCTTGTCCCCTTTGCTGGCAGATTATTTTTTCCTGTTTGTTAATTTGTTCCCTGTCTAAGGGCAGGAGAATGGCTCAGGGTACGTGATGGGTCTTACTTCTGGCCCAGGGGATGCGGCAAATTGCTGAAGCTGGGCTGGGACCCGGTGCAGAGCGGGGAGAGGGCAGGTTAATGGGAGAGAGGTTTCTCCTAAATGGGGATTTTGAACCGCGCAGAAGGTTAGACACAAGTACTTATCTTTTGCCAATTGAGTGCCACTTTTCACTGGTTCTGAGACTTGAGTAGACTCTTCACTGCTTGGTCTCTCCCAATGTGGAAAATGCATCCCGAATACCAGTCCCCGCCTTACCGCACATGCCAGCTAATCAGGCCTGTAGGGTGCCACTTCCCGCTGGGTCAGGTCTGGCAACTCCTCACTGCTTCCGAACCATCTCTCCCTCCCCCTGCCACTCAGTCTGATTCCTCAACTTTGCTTTTGATGTTCAGGGCTCCTAGATTGTCATTTATAATCACTTCACTTGTTTTTTCGGGTGTTTGCTGTTAGAGGGACTACCAGAAGTGTCTGACTACTCTGCCATCTTGGCCCCACCTTCTCTAATTTTTGTATATAATCTTAATGACACCAAAAGTTAACTGGGTTTCTCCCATGGGGGAGTAGAGTGGATGGTGAGGTAAGATAATTATATTGGTGCTCCTGTTTTATCTTTATACTTTTAGAATGAAGTTTTGAAACATTTATTTCATGACATTATTACTGTTTTTGGGATCCGTATGGATATGGTTTTGAATGGCAGCTAACTTCCCTTATAATTTATCAGGTGTGAATACTGAATTTATATGAAATTTTTTTTTGCATGTTGATGAGAAAAAAAATGATTCAGTAAATATATATTGAAGTCTATTATGTAGAAAGCACTATTTTAGCTATTACGTGGCACAATGGTATGGCTAAATAGTTTATAATCTAGTAGGGGTTGCTAGAGTTGTTAATGGTGATGGTCACACTTTCATGTACATTAGCATAGTCTGAGAACTGTGAGCAGTCTTGAGTGATAGGTCTTTAACATCTGTGATAGAGTAGATTAGAGTTGAAAGGTAGGCTGATGCTAAATTTTGGAGGACCTAAGGTACACTTGGAACTGTGGTGGTGCAGTGGTTAAGAGCTACGGCTGCTAACTAAAAGGTCGGCAGTTTGAATCCACTCGCCACTCCTTGGAAACCCTTTGAGGTAATTCTAGTCTGTCCTATAGGAAAGCTGTGAATCAGAATAGACTCTGTGCCAACAGGCTTTGGTTTTTAAGGTATACTTTGAGTGCTAGTTACTGTTAAGAATTATGTAGGAGAAGAAGGACACAACCAGAGTGAGGCTCTTTGAAAATATTTTGGTAGTACTGAAGAGGATTTACAGAGGGGCAAGGAGTTTGAAGGTGAGGAAATCAGAAGTATTCTTAGAATCAATTTATAAAGGCCACTTCCTCTTGGGTACTTTTTTTTTGATCACTTACCGTTGAATAGGACATGAGTCTAGGAAGGAAACCTTTAAAAGACATCTTTAGGGAAGAACTACTAAAGAATGTTTTATTTATATTTGTATCTACAATGCTTGTGCTTGTAATAGGTGATCAGTGGATGGTTGATGGGTAAATAAATGACTTAGAGACAAAGTATTGGGGAGTGGAGAAAGAGAAGAAGAAGGAAGAGTGTTCTAACATAGCTTCTGAGCTTCAGTCACTCTGAAATTAATGGTATCAGTTTGAAAAAGCAGGAAAATATAAGGGACGCTTTGCCCTTATATTGCAGGAAGGACAACAATGAAGACATGTCTAACCATCAATTAAAAAGGCAGAATTGGAACTTGGGAAAGAGAAAGGGTGGTGCAGGAGTTAATATTTGCGAATTATACCCAGGGTGGTGATAGTTGAAGGCATGGAAGAACGTAAGTTTTCAGAGAAGATATATAGAGAGAGGAAGCCAAATAAGAAACTCTGGAGAACATCCATATTTGTGATTGAGAGGACACAAGAGAAGAGGACACAAAAAAGGGCCTGGGAGGATTACAGTATTGATGGAATTTTATGTAAACCAGGAGAGGAGCTTTAAGAGTAAGGGGAAGTGGTCAATAATGGCAAATACTGCAGAGAAATAAAAAAGAATAAGAACTGAGGAAAGTACATGGATTTAGTAACAAGAATTGTTTGGATAGAATGGTATAAACTAGATCTCAAAGTCTCAGGAGGGAGTAGATAATGAAAAAATTAATAATTTTTTTCTTTCTTTAGCTTCAGTTGGCAGAGAAGGACAAAGAAATAAATGGTCTAACTTCACACTTGGATAACCTCTCCAGGGAGAAGGTACTGGGCAATGTTCTTTAAAAAAAAAAGTATAATATGACACTGTATTATGGTAGTACAGCTTTATGAAGAGTTACACATTTTACAGTGCATGGGAAGGTGGTTTTTTAAAAAAGTTGAATAAAGAAAAGACTGAAACAAATGTTGAAAACTCTTATGTGAAAAATATTTTTAGTTACATAATATTTTTAAATATTTTTTAAAATATGAGAAAAACATTGAAGTGTTGAAAATTATCAGTTTGGTCTTTGCTACCTAGTTTTTATTTAACAATAAATGTTACAGTGTTCAAAGTAAGAAAAACTGAAATTTTAAAAAATTATACATATTGTTGTGTTTATCTGATTTTCTTTTGTAATAGGAAGCATATTAGAAGTTGTTTAATGACATTTAGCATATCCTAACATTTAAACGGAACATACATTTATAAAGTAAAAGATGTTATACTGCAGCATTTCTCAAAGTGTGGTCTGTGGGCCCTTGGGAGTCCTCAACCTCCTATCAGGGATCTGCAAGTCAAAACTGTTTTCATAATAATACTACAACATTTTATGCTTTTTCCCACTGTATTATATTTGCACTGTTGGTGTGAAAGCAGTGGTGGGAAGATTGCTGGCATCTTAGTGTCAATCAAGGCAATGGCACCAAATTGTATTAATAGTTACTGTACTCATCACCACCATGCACTCTCAGTTAAAAAAATAAAAAAACAGCCAGTTTCACTTAAGACGTTGAGGCAGTAAAATGTATTAATTTTATTGAAGCTCGATCCTTGGGTACAAGCCTTTTTAATATTTTGTGTGATGAAATGTGAAGTACCTCCAAAGTACCTCTGCCTAAAGAAGTACGATGGTTATCTTAATGTAAAGCCCTTGGATGATTGAGGCGTGAGCTGAATTGCCTGCTTTCTTCCTGGAACACTATTTACTAGCAGAATAAAATTTCACTGCTCAGACTTGGGTATTTGGCAGATAGTTTCTCAAAAATAAATGAAGTGAGCCTGTCAGTTGATAGTATTGACAGTATTTGTTGCCCGTAATAAAAGTAAGCTTTTAAGTAAAGAATTTTGGAAAACTTGTATCTGCTACTGTTAGCATACAGACTTTTCTAATGCCATGGTAAGGTAATATTAAGACTGTGAACTTTTAAAAATATTATCTAGTGAAATGTGTAACCATTTGGAGGACCTACCTATCTGAGTGAACCAGTTATCTTCCAAATGACCGATGCATGATGTTATAAAATCATGGCAAAAGATCCAGTCAGACTACAAGATAGCCGTCAAGGTTGGATGGAGTTACTATGAGTGCTGCAAAATTCTGATTTTTCTACTCTGCCACTTCTTCCACATGTGTCACTTTGCATTGTACTATATGGAAGAATCTTCCTTTGTTCCTCATTTATATATGTGTGTATGTATATATATATTTTTTTATTTATGTGTGAGTGTCTGTATCAATCAGAGTTCTCCAGAAAAACAGTAGGAGATTATATAGATACACATTTATTTTAGGATATATTTATATATATAGATATTATACATGTGTATATATATTCACATATACATAATGTGTGTGTTTGTATGTATTTAAGTATATATTTCTTTCAAGAAATTGGTTTACACAGTTATGGGGCCTGGCAAGTCTGAAATTTGTAGGGCAGGCTGACATGCTGGAAAGTCAGGCAGCTGATATTGCTGTCTTGAGGCAGAGGGAAACCTCCATTTTTGCCCTTAAAGCCTTTCAAACACGGATTCGATGAGGCCTGCATACATTATTGAGGGTAATCTCTCCTTTACTTAAAGTCAACTAATTGTAAATGTAAGTACATCTACAAAATACCTTCACAGCAACACCTAGATTAGTGTTTGACTGAATGACTGGGTGCTGTAGTCTAACTAAGTTGACAGAGAAAACTAACGATCACAGTCTGTGTCTATCTGTATCTGTCTGCCTATCTGTCTTCCTACCTGACAGTCATCAGTACATGTTCTTTTTGGTTGATGGAATAAACCAATACCCATGCCATCCAGTTGAGTCTGACTCATAGCGACCCTATAGTGACCCTATAGGACAGAGTAGAACTGCCCCATAGGGTTTCCAGGGAGTGGCTGGATGATTCGAACTGCCGATCTTTTGGTTAGTAGCCAGACGCTTATAATCTATTTATTGTACTTACTTAATTTGATGCTCACGTAGTCACAGATATGGTTAGTAAGAGCTGTTTATTTTTATATGTTGTGTTTTTGGTGAAAGTTCACACAGCAAATTAGGTTCTTATTTAACAATTTCTATACATCTTTTCAGTGACATTGGTTACCTTTTTCACAGTGTGTCAGCATTTTCATTATTTCTATTCTGGTTGTTCTGTTTCTCTTAATCTAGTTTCCTTGTCCCCCTTTACCTTCTCATGTCTGGTCCTAGGGGAAATGTTTACCATTTAGTTTTATTTAGATGATTATTTACAGGAGGACAGTACTCATGGGTGATATTATTTATTTTATGGGCCAATCTGTCTTTTGGCTGAAAGGTGACCTCTGGGAGTGCTTTGAGTTCCAAGTTTAAAGGGTATCCCAGGCCTCATCCAGTTTCTACCAGTTCAGAAAGTCTGGCCTTTTTTTTTTTTTTAAGGAATTTGAGTTTTGTTCTACATTTGTCTCCCATTCTATCCGGGAACATTTATTGAGTCCCTAGTCTGAACGATTAGTAGTGGTAGTCGGACACCATCTGTCCTAGTCATGTAGTGTTCCTAACAGAAATACCACAAGTGGATGGCTTTAACAAAGAGAAGTTCATTCTCTCACAGTCCAGTAGGCTAGAAGTCCAAATTCAGGGTGCTGGCTCCAGGGGAAGGCTTTTTCTCTCTGTCAGCTCTGGAGGAAGGTCCTTGTCAGTCTTCCCTTGGTCTGGGAGCATCTCAGCGCAGGAACGTCAGGTCCAAAGGATGTGCTCTGCTCCTGGCGTTGTTTTCTTAGTGGTATGAGGTCCCCATGTCTCTCTGCTCGCCTCTCTTTTATATCTCAAAAGAGATTGGTTTAAGACATGATCTAATCTTGTAGATTTCATCAGTATAACTGCCGCTTATCCATCTGATTACATCATAGTGATAAAATTTACAACACATAGGGAAATCACATCAGTTGATGAAATGGTAGACAATCTTAGAATACTAGGAATCGTGGCCTAGCCAAATTGGTACACATGTTTTTGGGGGACACAGTTCAATCCATGACACCATCTAATTCTTCTGGTCTCGAGGTAGATGAGGCTGTTGTGTGTGTAGATTAGTTTCTTCTTTGAGTCTTGAGTTTCCTTTTATGCTGGACAACTAGAGACCAATAGTTTTATCTTAGATGGCTTCTTGCAAGGTTTTAAGACAGAGGAAGCTCTTTAAAGCTGGTTGCTGATTTGCCCCAATCTCAAAAGAATATTGTCATTGATTTTTTTGAGCACGTATTTTCTTTCTGGTACTACAAGATGTTTAAGGCTTATCTTGTACCTCTTTTATCTCAGCTTTGGAATCGGCCATTTCTGTAAGAAGCTGTGGTCCAACTCTGGAATCAGTTGTTTCTCCAAGGCACTTTGGTTCTTTATGGTATCTAGAAACCAAACTCTGGGCCCTAGGTGTGGTAACTGTTACTGGCGGTTATTGCATCTAGACCCTTTCAATGTATAGAGCTAGGAAATATATTTTAGATATCACAGTTTGTTCCAGTCCAGCCCCACAGGGTTCTTCGTTACATTCTCTCATCTCATATTTGCATTCTCCCAGCTTAGATCCCTGGTCGCGCAGTGGTTTAAAGCTCTGCTGTTCCTTGGAAGCGCTATGGGGCAGTTCTATTCTGCCCTGTAGGGTTGCTGTGAGTCGGAATTGACTCAACAGCAACAGATTTTCTTCTTCCTTAGGGTCGCTATCAGTTGGAACTGACTCCACAGCATCAGTTGTGGAGTTTTTCTTCCATAGTGAAAATACTGGCACCCAACAACATCAACATATTCATTCATTTACTAAATCCAGTAGATATGTAAAATAGTTTTCAGAATTGCTACAGCTGTATCACTATGGGAAGGAAACTAAGAAGACAGTTCAAGATTTGTTTGTAATTCTTTTCTTCGCCCTTTAGGCTAAAAGACATGTTGTCAGTATATTGGGTTCACATGTTACTTGCGTTAGTTTTTCTGTTTGTGTCTCTCCTCTTTGCAGTGGTCATGTTATTCATTTGAAATACATATGGGTACTTTTATTTCTCTTTGGATATAGCTTCAGATTTTATTCTTGTTGATTTCATTTTATTTCTTGAATTGTAAACCATTAATGTGTGTCCTCAAAATCTAAACTATACTGAAAGATACACCCAGAGAAATATCACTCGTTCCCTTATCCCTCCGTTCCACCCCCCATCCAATTTATACTTTGTTTTTGCAAAAAATTAAACAAGTTTTCTTATTTCTCCCTCTTTTTTTCCTGAGAAGTTAGCCTATTGTATGCTTTTTTCAATTAAAAATATATTCTGAGGAAGCTCCATACACATCCAAACTCCCTGAGGGACTGAATTGCTGGGCAGAGGGCTTTGGGGACCGTGGTCTCGGGGAACATCTAGCTCAAC